AGGCTGGGACTGTAAATAGTGTTCTGTGCTCGTCTGTGCAGCCAAACACAGAACAGTTAGCATGCTTTGCTCAAACTTTCACCATGGCATTAGAGCTGGTACACCGTTGTCGCTTGTGAAAACACAATAATGGCGCCGTGGGTGTAAACTTACAGATTAAGGGGCGGTAATATTATAATGAGATCCCTTTGCCACGTCACTAGGGGAGAGAAATCAGACGTGCTGGTTTTCTCAGATGCTTGCAGAAAAAGGCTTACCTAAACAAAGTTACTGGGTTAATCTTTTTCACGTTTCCTTGGTTGGTAGATGCACCGGAGACCTGATTATAACACTTAAAACCTGGAAAAGTCAGATTTTCATGATATGTCACCTTTAAGCATTTTGTAAAATTAATTAAAAAGTAATAATCATATTTTGGAAGTTGTGTTTTCAAACTTTGAAGCATTAATAATTCAAGACATTTGCATTCAGAGACCATATTGTGTTACATTCAATTTATTACTTAAATTTGCTCTTAACAAAGTGTTAAATTTTCATTAAACCTGCAGAAACGCTGTTAAGGAACTGTCCTCTATCAGAGCCGTTGCGATGATGAACAACTAAAGCAAAACCCTTCAAAGAAATCTAACTCCCGTCTGTTGTGTCTCAGAGCGCTTGAGTTCTGATCAAAATCAAACGATGCATCAGTTTTTTTAAGAGACGACAAACCCTTTTGACCTTCATATGATTTTGGTGGCCACAGAGTCCTCAAACAAAACCAACAGAGAGCCATTGATGTGGAATAAATGATCAAACTCTGCGATTTAAACGGTCAAACTATGATGCATGTCGATGCCGTATTATTACCTTTCTCCAAAGACATTCAGAGAGAAGCCTGCACATTTAGGAGAGCATTATATCAAGCCGATTGGCAGCTGTTGGCATCAGGAGGGCCGGGGCCCCTGAGAGGAGCCGTAATCACGCTCATTTATGCTCTGAAGCGTCTGACGCGAGGCGTTCGCAGCGTAACGCAGCCTCCGCAGCCCGATCTGTGTGCGTTTAGGCCGCTGGGCTCATCCAGTGCTTTATGACAATCATGCCGTAATAAAAGAAAATGCCCCTAAAGTGGCGTGCGGGGAAACGTGCGGCGGTGGTTCTGATTATTGTAGATGAGGGCCTGTAACATGTCAAGACTAATTACCCGCTCCTGACAGAGCGAGGCGTCGCTGCACAATACAGAGCAAACGAAAGACCCCAGAACCTCCGTCCTTGACCTCTCTAGTGCCTATTAGTCTGCCGTATACGTATTTAATGTTGAACAACACTAGATTGTAAAATGCTGTTTGTGTTTGTGATCAGTGCTCAGAGCTCGAGTCAGATCAAATTGGATCAGTTCAGTAATCAAAGCTTATTTTGTTGTCATATACTGACTTGTTTTTTGCCTGCCAGAAACCAAACGTCTAAAAGGAAATGTTTTGGCGATCGTTAACATGCCCTGCTATTGAATAATTGCCAATATTCCTAATGAAAGCTGAGCAAAAGCAGACCGTGTGTTTAAATTGCCGATGGAGTCGAGTTGCAGGATTTTGTCAATCACTTTAAATGAATAACAGGACGGTTTGCTTGATAGCTGGTTTGATAAAATAGCCAATTGTGTTACATCATGTGTTCCCCAAATTACTTACAACATACGACACTCGTAATTTCCTCCTCCTCTTTTTTTTTAAACTACTCCTGTTTCATTATGAGAGAGTTTGGCCAAGCCCACAGATTTGTCTGCGAAGGCTTGTGTACAATGACGGTTCAGTTGACTTAATTAGCTAAGGAAGTATTTAAAGGCTTAATTGAGATTGCATTGGGAAATTGCTCTGAAATAGCCAGTGCGTTTTTTCTCTCGAGCGAGATCTGACCTCTGATTGGAGGACGCAGTAACTCTGTCATCCTCCAATCTCAGCTCAGCTAAACATCTGAGCTCACATACTCACGCTATTTAGATTGAGACTTCCTATGTGAAGTTTTATAAACTGAAACAATTGCTGCTCTGGACTCTACAGAACATCTCTATTCACGTTGCCAAAGCCACCATCCATTCCTCTGTTCAGTACTATATACAGAATGTCCCATTACAGTGTGTTATTGCATTTAACTATGTATGCCTTGTTAAGTTATTAAAAATATATGCTTTTCAAAAATTGGTATTCACAGTGACTGGCTTCACAGCTAATATACTGTTCAGCTTTTTAACCCTCTGGTGCTGTTCAGTCAATTTTGACCAGAAATGTTTTTTTAAATTACTTTATCGGAATGGTACGAAACATGGTAAAAGTTTTGGCATTTGGTATGTGAACACACACACACACACACACACACAAACACTTACAAACACACACACACACACACACACACACTCACACACACACACACACACACACACACAGAGACACACAGACACACACACACACACACACACACACTCACACACACACACACACACACACACACAGAGACACACAGACACACACACACACACACACACACACTCACACACACACACACACACACACACACAGAGACACACAGACACACACACACACACACACACACACTCACACACACACACACACACACACACACAGAGACACACAGACACACACACACACACACACACACACTCACACACACACACACACACACACACACAGACACACACAGACACACACACACACACACACACTGTCAAAAATGACCACAATGGAAATGAATGGCAAGCGAATTTCATCTAGTGGAAATTATTGGTACTGCACTGAAAGCTCATTGTTTTTGAGTTTCAGATGTGGAACACAACTTGTTTAGATTTATGGCTTTGATTTTCAAGCAGTTTTAGAGTAAAACATATTTTGGTAACAATTTACTTAAAGCCTTTTTATGTAACTCATAAAAGTAGTTTTAATGCATCATATGATCTGCCTTATAATGCATCATATGATCTGATGAATAATTGTAAACACAGTTATAATACATTATAATACTTATGTTTCATCTTTAGAAAGTATAATGCATTAAAACACATGACAAACAAACCTTCAAACATTATAATGCATTTTAACTTTTGTTATATCTATTTATGAAAATATATGATGCATTACAATGTACATTATGAATACCTGAAGAGTTACCTATATTTTTTCATATAAAATTTGAAAATAGTGTTTTTGTGCACTTTCATAACAATATACTTAAACATCGATAACCTATATCTTACCTATATAACCTAACGACTATAACATCTATATATTTTTTAGCTTTAATTTCTTCTTTTCTCTCTTTTTTCACTTAAGCAAAAAAATCTGCCAAGTGTCTTCTTTAAAAGAGACCAAACTTAAGGTTGTGCTCACTCAAGATTTATGACAGTTTAAGTTGTAAATTTAATTTTCAGGTCTATTCTTAGAAATTAGTAACAGGTAATGAATAAATCATCCATACTTCAGTACCATAAAATATACACCTAAAAATATTCATAAAAAATTACATAATCAAAGTAAAATAGTACATAACCCTAACTGAAATAAAAAATTCTGTCATTTTTGGCCGGCACACAAGCCATACCAGAGTTCGCCGTTATTTCGTGTTGATCAGCTAATAATCAAGGAGAACCTGTCTAGTGTAAAACTGTGGTGCTTAAACTGTGTGCTAGATGAGTTGAGAGAGTCCTGTGATCTTCCAGCGCCGCGTTTGTTTTCTTTTCCTCAGGCGTTCGGCTTCATGTGTCGAGTGGCTCTGCAAGCACAGAAGATGAACCATCATCCGGAGTGGTTCAATGTTTATAACAAGGTAATAACTTCAAACCCAGCCACTTATTTCTCACTGTTGAGCAGCAGTTTATAAAGTTTTTCCAAATGTTTAACATGAATACACTGTTTAAACTACATGAGAGGCCACACACATCAGGCCTTTGAAAGTGTCGCATTTGCACGGCAAACAGTCGCACTACGTAGTGCACTAGCTCACATTTCATGTCAGGCCGAGTGAGAAAAGTGGAGCGAGAGCGCTGGAAAACAATCCTGACTATCTGTAGTTGAAAATTTCTTTGTGAAATAAGCATTAGTGGTTTCGTAAATCAGCTTACTGTGCGGTAGGCCGACGTCTTTATTAAAGTAACTGCAGGACAGGACAGGCTTGGGCTGTTCCCAATACTCACTACTGCAGTCACCCAACACACGGATAGAGGACATCACTGTGTCATCAGCATAAACATGAAACCTAGCATTTATAATGATAACGTTAACATGAGTAATAAAAAGTAGAGGCCCCAAAACAGAGCCCTGAGGAACACCCCTAGTGATCTGTAAAGGGGGGGATATATCCAAAGCTAGCTGTTGATCATGACTGAATATCTAGCTGTCTTTCAGGTCCAGATCACTTTATCGACACATGACTGTGGAGGACTGTCAAAGAAGGACATTCGACTGGCCAAATTCATTGACAAGGTGGCTCTGTCCCTGTAGAGGCTCTTCCTTCTGGAACGTACATTCATTTTCAATATTTCAAATCTTCTGTATTGTATTCCCAAAAAGGGAAATAGTTAATTTGTTAATTCACACACGTGTGTGTTTAAAATCATTTTTCTTATTCGGATCTACATGATTCTGGTAAATGCATATCAAACAGATGTTGGAATACTGTTAGTAGATACATTTCATATTCATTAGATATCTGATACAGTTTTAAATCATTTGTTCAGGTGCATTTTTTTTTCAATATTTCAAATCTTCTGTATTGTATTCCCAAAAAGGGAAATAATTAATTTGTTCACACACGTGTGTGTTTAAAATAATTTTTCTTATTCGGATCTACATGATTCTGGTAAATGCATATCAAACAGATGTTGGAATACTGTTAGTAGATACATTTCATATTCATTAGATATCTGATACAGTTTTAAATCATTTGTTCAGGTGCATTTTTACATATAAAAAACGTACGTTAAAAACATGTATTATTAATATAATTGATCATACTCAAAACTCCTAAATATAGTAATGAATGTCTGATAATTGCTATATGCAGTGGGCCGGCAAATTTCCCGTTTTCCGTTTTCTGTATCGACGGACACTTGTTCACTATGCTGTTTGCAGCCCTTCAGACTAAACGTATACACTCCCTGAGCTTTAAGATGACCACTTATGTCCCCTTCACAGGGCACTGTCGGACAATAGGAAGTAGTAGTGATGAGCAGTTGAAGCCTCGTGAAGCACTGATGCTTTCCTCTGACTGTTTCGGGAAAAGATTCAAAGCGTCGAGACAACATGAAAACAAGACATGACGGGAGTGTCAGGGCTCTGTCACAAAACCACAAGAAAACGAGACCAAAGTGACAGAACCCTGACAAATATGTGTGCTGTGTAACCATGACAAGCATCTAGACCTCTGAGTATGTCATATAAAGTTTTTGAAAAAGAATATGTATATATTTTTAAAAATTCTTTCTGTAATAAATCATTTCATAATGATTTGTGTACCAAACTCCATGCGTTTCATTTGTAATGAGAGCTGATGTTAAAACCTCAGAGTACTCTGAAATGTCAGCAGGAAACTTGTACAGACCCATATTTTCCTTTTAGTCAGTTTATAAGCATGCAGCATTTTGACTGTACCACGTTTACTTGGGCTACACAAAATGACAACACATTTTCATAATTTCTTAGGACGAGAAAGAGCGTACAGTATGTTTCATATAGACATATAGACATGGTGTGCACCTCAGTGAGCCGACAGAGCGCAGGTGATCCTGGTGCCAGAGCTGGCCCTGACATGAGTCACAGCATAAAACACCAGGCCTGATTGTTGGTGGGAAGCATGTGGCTCAGATCAGGCTTGTGAGTCGTGACCATGGGCCACATTTGAAACTGATAAACAGATTTAAAAAAAAATTTTTTTTTTTTTTTAAGTATTCCAAGATTATTTCTTATTAGATAGACATTTTAGCATTGATAATTAAGCGAATGATTTAAGACAGTTTGCTGTTTTCATTTAAAATTAATGCATTTCATTTTCACTTCAAAGATTACATCATTTTAAACAAGGCTACATTTTAAAATTATGAAATTAATACAATTTCTGTAACCATTAAACCAATAATTATCATGCAATGTTTATTTTGTTTGCTGTGCAACAATTTTATGAAAGTGCTTTGGGTTTAAAAATGACCATAAAATACACAGCAAATGCACCATAAAATGATCATAAAAAGTATTTTATTTGTGTGCTGTAATATTAATATCTGGTTTGCATGTGATTGTGTGTGAGGAGCAGATGCAAATCTTTTTCTACATCCTCTCGTACGGTCCCCTTGGTTAAAAAAAATCAATTACGACAAGCATTATATTGCCCCACTTTAAAGTTCATTTTGTGCATTAATTTTTTTAGCATTTGGTATTAATACTTTTATGCAAGGATTGATCCTCTCGATACAATGTGTGTCGATATCGCAAGTGATTTCCACACTTACCAGCATTGTATTAATGACTTCTTTTTTAGTTTCTAACAAGGGAATGACTCCACATCCACAAACACAGTCATGACTAGTATATCACAAAAGATCTTATTAACTTCATTTAATTTTATTGTTCGGTAAAACTGCTGTAGTAGACTCTACAGTACTTGTTTTCCACTGGTTGATTGCTATCATAGTCACAGTTTACTCATCTATGATGAGTTCACCTCTGAAAAGCTGAAGGTATTAAACGGGTCTGTTAAGCTGCATTAATTGCTGGAGATCGTGGGTCACTGAGCTGTTGGTTTCTAGCAGGCTGTCCCAAATGCCACCTGTATCAGCCGGCGGATCACTTTTAGTGCTCCCATTGGTAGTCACACAGTGCTTCGCTGCTCATCTGCATTAAGTTGCTTTGTTGCATTACCAATGGCCAATCTAATTAACTCACTCTTTACTGAAGAGTACTGCACCAACTCTTTCCATAAACCTTGGATGTTGTGGTAAAACAGAGCTAGGTTGAGTTAGCAGTAGAAAACAACATCTTCAGAAACTGTAATCTGGCATTGTTTGCAAGAATAGTGTTTCTTGCCTGCTGCTGGAAGTCAAATGTTGTGGTGTTTGGGGACTAGCCACAGCAGTCAAATATCTGCGAATCAAGATAACAAGGTTTCCTACATCATGTCCTTCCATTTAAATTAATTTTACTGGGTTAAATTTCAACCCCAACTGCATTGGTGTCACCTGTAGGCTTGCGTGATAAACAAACTGTGCCTTCTGTGGTCCAGGTCCTCCGATAACATACTGGCTTCGTCCCCAGAGCGTCCATATATTTGCCGGGAGCGCCGCACAGGTCACCGAGGGTTTGCCATGCCCCAGTCAAAAGAGATTTTTGGAGAAACTCTGAAGAAAAGTTGATATTTACCAGATTGGAAATGGTTTCAAAACTATTTCTAAAGAGTTTAGGATCCACCAATCTACCAGGCAGATTGTACAAACGAAAGAAATTCAACACCACTGTCCAGGCCCCAGTGTACTCAAAGGGAAATTCAATAATGAACATATTTAAACAAACTTGATGTTGAATGAAATCCAGCCAAAATGAAGGTGATTTTGACCTTCAGGAAAACTTTGATCGTTAAACACAACCTAATTGCCATTGGCAGATGGTGACTCAATAGGTGGGTGTAACCTGGGGCTCCATCTATAGGTGTTTTTAAACTTCTTCCAATTTTGACACACTGCACTGTCTACTGGCTTCGGAGAAAAGAAAATCTAAGAAACTGGGATTGAATGTCTGCTCTTATTTTGCATTACAACCACACCTTACCATCCCCAGACTGATGGTTTGGTTGAATGTTTCAACCAAACCCTGAATAGCATGCTGAACAAATTTCTGACTGGGACCAGTGGTTACCCTCAGGGATGGGCAGCTCTGGTGCTCGAGATCTACTTTCTTGCAGAGTTTAGCTCCAGTTCTCATCTCACCTGAGCAAGCTAATCACGGTCAGGATTCAGGATTGCTAGAAAGCTACATGCAGGTTTGCCTGTACAATCAGGGTTGGAGCTAAACTCTGTAGGGCCTGAGTTGCCCACTCTTGCTTTACCTAGTGGTTGCTCCTAACCTCCTTACCTAGTGGGGCCCAAGGATAGTACATACAGTGTGGTCCAATATGTAATCCAAATCAGAGACCATCTGGAAGAAACTACATCACTGGCCCAGGATCCCAGCACTCTCAGAAAACTTGGAATGAGTTGCCAGGGAGGGATTCTTAGTGCCAAGTTCTGAAAACAAGTTGCTTTGTTGGCATAGACCCTACAAAGTAATGTGAAAGACTGGCAGCATCACCTGCAAGATCTCATTGCCGGAGCAGGGTAAGAAAGAGTAAAACTGCTATATTAACTTGCTGAAAAAAGTCCACCCCAGGGCCGAGCCAACTCTTTGTGCCATTGGTAAGGAGTATGAACCAACAGGACAGCTTTTCTAAACTAGCTGCAAACAACAAGAGCTGGATGTTTCCGGTCTGGAGCAACCTCAAGGAGACCAGGCAGAGCAGTTGAGCTGTCTCAGAAGAAACCTGGATTTACTAATCGGGTGCTGAGGTAACCCCATCCATCCAAACGAGCTTTCGTATCCCCGAACATCTGATAAATGTGATTACAGATGAACTGGACATTATGCGCTCCATAGGTGTCATTAAAACATTCATCAGTGAGTGGTGTAGTTTCACCATGATAGTCTCCGAAAGGATGGAGCACTTCGATTTTACATTGACTTGTGGAGTGGAGACTCTTCCAGCAACCGTTCTTCCTGCAGACAGATGCCTCTGGAGTCAGTAGAAGGGGATTGCATATCGCTGGCATTCCTCAGTCGGATTTACCTGAGAGACGTGATACTCTAGAAGAAGGGTTTGGCTAGAACATGGGCCCTGGATTCCCTCCATTTCTACCTTCTGGGGAGACCCTTTGTGCTAGAGACAGACTATCGACTACAGTGACTGGAATGCATGAAAGACTCCAATGCACAAATTACAGTCTCGCTCCCTTCAGCCCTACAGATTCACTGTGAAATATTATCTTCTTTCTCAAATATTGTTAGAGGGGCCGAAGCGTGATCCCAGCTGTCCTCTGCAGATGGTTGGGGTTGCTCTCTTGTGCCCCAATTCCCCTTTCTTTCAATACCCTTATTTGTTTAATAAAGACATACATGAATTTAAAAACTATGTATTTAACTTGATGTGGCACTGAAGTAGATGTTAGCTGGCACATTGGTGCCATAGCAGACACTGTGGTTAAACACACATACAGATAAACTGTTATGTCTCGGACTGGCCACCTGAGGGCCGAACCAACAGACATCACCCATATTGCTCATACATGGCGGCAGATATTTTACCTCTTAAAAGACCCGAAAGGACTTTTATCAATGTTCTTATACCCTTGCTGGAATAATGATAGAGGACGCCAAGTATGGTGGGAAGGCGAGGAGCTGTTTGTTTGTTATGGTGCTTATGCTTTTTTAAATTTAAGCAATTCTCTGTTTACCCAAAACGAATATGATAGTTTATGGTATCATGGTATCATATCATATATTGTATGGTATCATATTAAACTGTTTAATGCTGCTAGTTAGTCTGTAACTAGCGTTCGGTAAGATTAGTTATTATTGAAGAATTGCAGTTCTCGTTTCCTTTGTTCGTTTGGTTTATTTCTGTAAATAATTGGAGTTTTGTATGTTGTATTGTATATTTATTTCCTTATTTTGTCACACTGTGCTGTCTGCTGGTTTGGGCTGGCAGTGTCCTCCATTCTTTAAGCTGGGGGTTTCTGTTTCTCCATGACTCTTCCTTGGGGACACCTTAGCTTTATTCAGTTTCTCAAGAAGATTCCTTTGGTCAAGCCACGAGCTGTAACCTTCAGTAACTGCCTTAGCCTTTATTTCCTCTTTTAGCCCATCTGTAATATTAAAGCCTGCCACAGATCCAGTGGTCATCTTATTCCTGTTCCAGCCAAAAGGTCAAGGCTGGCACGGTCCAGTTAACCTGCTGGTAGATGCTGTAACTAAACCCTCTGGCTGCAAAAGTCATCATTCTCCACTGACAGCCAGGGGTGCGTTTCCCAAACGCAACTATGGTCGCAAGTTCCGTCGTTACCAATAGAGTTCAATGGAATTAACGACCATAGTTATCTAACAATGCTTTTGGGAAACACACCCCAGTTTGGTCAAGCAGCACAGAAATAATAATAATAATAATAATATATATAATAATAATAATAATAATAATAATCATAATAAAAGAGAAGGAGCTGGTCGCTAGTCGTTCTTTCAGTAGATCTGAATAGTCTGAAGCTGCAGGATGAAACTCTGTCAGAGAGAATCAGAGTAAGTAACTGCTATCACAAAACTGCTTGGTTAATCATTCCCTCTAGACATGATAATAGGCAGTTTTGCGAGTCTATAAAAGCCTTCAGGACTGGTGTGCTGCAGGTTAGAAATGCGAGTGTTTTAAACTGTGTGTCTTTATGTTTCGAACATTTATATTTTATGTTTTGATCATATGCATTGCTTAAATTCGCTTTGTGGTATGTTTTTGCTGACTTTCAGAGACAATGGTTTTAATTGATTCGTGCTAGGTTTTTTTCTTCTATTTTTTCATAATTTAGGTTAAAAGTCTTTAGCAAGCTATTTTGTATTATATATAGATAATAATCCATGGTTTTTATCTAAATGTTTATTGGCCTTTTTTTCAGAACATTGGATATTTTCGGTTTGTTATTAATCACTAATGTCCTTATATTGCTTCTCGCGAATTATGAGATTTAAGTATTCCGCTTTTTTTTTTTAACGACATGCCTTTTCAATCAATGTTATGGTTGTTCTGTCTTATCAAGCGTCCCATCTTCCTTTGCCAAACAACCTTTGTGTTTGTTGTGACAGAATAATTGCACAATATTACTCACATTACAGAGTGCAATGACTGTACGTTATAACATACAGACTCTTTGATGTTTATACCGATGGATTATGATTAAACATACAAATCATTTAAATTTTAAGTGCGATTTCAGGCAAAATATTGTCTTTTTATTGTCATAACATGTAGGTTGCTACAGCTTTACACTGAACGAGCTGACTGAGCAAGAAGTAAAGAAAACAAACAAACAAAAAGAGTTCTTTAAATGTACAGAATTTTCCAAGTAATAATAGGCTAATGATTTAATAATGCCAAATGGGTTTCATATAGAGAGTATGAAGCACCAGAGTAAATGTCACATTATTGTTAGTTATTGTAAAACGTTAAAGAGCACGAGCAGCTGTTTTTATCTGGGCTGAACCTTCACAATATTGTCGTTAGTGTGACCCGGATAAGTGACATTAAATTCGAATTTTAAAAAGTAAATGTCGATGTTGCAACATTTTACGTTACCCGATGAAACTTTGATAATTCAGTTATTGTTGGTTATTATATATATAATATCATAATAGGTGTTCCAACTACTTTAATGTTAAAAACTGGTCATGTTAAAAATCAGTTCATTTAAAAATCATGCTTTTATTAAATTTCCACGATTTTTATGTAATTTGAATACTGCGAACTACATGAAGATAGTAACACTAAATGTAAACATCCACTAGCTTATTATGACCCCCCTACACTTTGAAATGTAAAAATAAGCCTAATTGAGAGCATATGATCATTAATGTTCTGCTTTTCTTAGTTCTGTCGTAAGGAGAACATTCTCTAACCCAGCTCTAATTGAGAGAGATAGGAAAGCCAAAGGTGCCAGAGTATGGATTTCCTACGAGACTGATGAAGATTGATTTAGAATGAGTAATTAAACACGTTGAAGTGATGTGCATTGTCTTCTTATCATAAGCGATTAGAATATCTACACAATGTGGCTTGACTTCATATCAGTGATGGATTGATCAGAGAGGATGATGGTCATTTACTGACAATTTATTAGACCTGGATATAAGAAAAAACTTTTTATTTTTATTTTTATTTTTTTACTTCTTTTAGAAGGACAGCTATGTAAAAAAATAAACATTTGCAAAAATCCGGCGATTTATTTTGTGCTTCTCTTTTGCGCGCTTTAGTTGTAGAATTCGTTATGCTAGCCTATTTAAATCAATTTTTTTTTAAAACTCCATACATACATTTACACAACATACTGTATAAGAAAATGTATCGTGATTCACTAGAATTTGTTTTTGTCAGAAACAATTCAAAAACCGCTCGAAGTGTTATTTTCAATGCTATTTCTACTCAAGGCTACTGCGCATAAAGAAATAATACCTATAATATAATAATTATTATAATATGTGTGGCAGCGCTTATGCGCGTCAGTTCAACCCGATCTCATGAAAGTGCGTATAAATAGTACGCCAAATAAAAACGAAAACTCGTGGTATTGATACGCAAAAAAAAAATATCAGTGATGGATTGATCAGAGAGGATGATGGTCATTTACTGACAATTTATTAGACCTGGATATAAGAAAAAACTTTTTATTTTTATTTTTATTTTTTTACTTCTTTTAGAAGGACAGCTATGTAAAAAAATAAACATTTGCAAAAATCCGGCGATTTATTTTGTGCTTCTCTTTTGTGCGCTTTAGTTGTAGAATTCGTTATGCTAGCCTATTTAAATCAATTTTTTTTAAAAACTCCATACATACATTTACACAACATACTGTATAAGAAAATGTATCGTGATTCACTAGAATTTGTTTTTGTCAGAAACAATTCAAAAACCGCTCGAAGTGTTATTTTCAATGCTATCCTACTCAAGGCTACTGCGCATAAAGAAATAATACCTATAATATCAACCCGATCTCATGAAAGTGCGTATAAATAGTACGCCAAATAAAAACGAAAACTCGTGGTATTGATAAGCAAAAATGGACTTTGGCGTGTATATTATATTACGCGATGGGTAGGTTTAGGGTTGTGGGGTAGATGCGTATCATATGCACGCGAAAACTGCGTATTATATGCACGCCAAAGTCCATTTTTGCGTATCAATACCACGAGTTTTCGTTTTTGTTTAACGTTCTATTTATACGCATTTTCATGAGACCGGGCTCGACAGTTTCTGTAAAGACTGAACGTAACTGAAAAGTGCTTCGCTCTATTTTCACCAGATTCTCTTCTTCGAGGCTTTGGCGTTGTCCTCGGTATGTGATGTTCACTTTCTTTCAGTCTCTTGTTTGATTGGGGAATGGGTTTAACGCGTCCTTGAAAAGGCATGTCAACATTGTGCAGCGAGCTCATTCTGTTAGCCTAAGCAGAGGAAGTGACCATTAACACGGGCCTCTCGGAGCCGACCTTTTAGGAAATTAAAGGCATTATTATCAGTGGAAAAGGATCAGTGGCATTAAGGAAAACATCAGTTACGACTGACCCTCTCCTACGTATCATCTAAATAGCTACACCTGAATACACCCATGCAGATAAAACAGTCACTTAATGTGGCAAACCGTGATAAGGAATAGATTTTAAAGTTTGCCTTTCTCTCTTTCATCCTAAAGGTGTATTTGGATATAATTGCGTGCTCTGGAAATCATTTATAATTAAGAAATGTGCTGGAGCATTAAAAAAAAGCAAATGGAAGGATTTAGTGCATTGTCAAACCGCATATATGGACACATATTGATGTCAAGCGTAATATATGGAAAGAGAAAAGGCAACATTTCATGCATTGAAATTTAGCTCGGCGAATAGGGAAAAAATCCCTTAGATATGATTGAATGATTGTTTAAAGATACTATATTTTTCAATGAAAAAAGCTGATTTCGATTATGTACAATGTCCACTTTTTTTAAATATAGCCCACGCTGATTTACCCAATCCTTTCGAGAAATTATTTTAGGAATTCTTAATTTTGAGGTTTATTCAAACATTTCCATAAACATAAGCACAATTTCAATCTACAGGGGTACAACATACAGTTATAGCTTTGTTATTTAGTCTACACATTCATATAATTTTTACAAAACATTTTTTTTGCACTCGAAGTAAGCATGCGGTAAATCTATTATCGACACAATGAAACAACGACGTGGAAAGAATCCAGGAGAGGCCACGAGGACAACAAACCCTCTGCGTGACACTGAATACAAACACGACGAACACGACTCATCACGAGGCCTAATTACCACGACACGCTGCGCTAATTACACGCTTGTGTTCTGACAAACCATTGTTCCCACTTGGAGCACTGCGTCATATTCAAATTTTGTTCCACGTTTATATTTATGTACAATGTATCAGTTTAACCTGCTTCAAAACGTTGAAATCCAAACAATGGATTTACATTGTTGTGCAAGTTTAGGTAAACACAGACGATCCGCATATTCCACTGCAAAATGCCGATCGCACCAAATCCAGTACGGTTGTTATTTCTCCCGGGGTCCGTTCACTGGAGGTTAACTCGTCAGCTGTTGTACTGGCATGCGTTTAGACTAGAGCCGGGACTCTGCAACCCGCTATATCCGAAAGATGGATGCTGCTTGGATCTCAGTCTTAAGGAGTTGCAAGTGTCCCTGTAGACGCTGTAAGGAGATCCCGGAGGTCCGTAGGGGCACGCTGACGAGCTCATGGCCGGACTGATCGCGGAGCTCCCGATACCGTTCAGGTTACCGATGTTGTTCAGGCCGGTGGTCGGCATGCCAGGCACGGCGGAGTGTCCCATCCCAGACGCCATGCTCATGGAGGAGATCGAGGTCGGGGCTGAGAACATGGACTGGGACGTGAGGGGACTCATGGAATTAAAGAAGGTGAAGTTCTTGGTGGACAGCGGGGTTGGGGCCAGGCCTTTGTTGGTCCAGTTGTTGTAGGTGTACGCGGGGTAGACGTCCTCATACGGCTGCATTAGTCCGCTGAACTGGGGCAGGTAACTGTTCTTACACAAATCCATTTGCTGGTTGCGCTCCCTTTTTCTCCATTTCGCCCTCCGATTCTTGAACCAAACCTATGGAAGAGGACGCGTTATTCACTCAAGCTCAACAAATGCTATTAAAAGTCGACTCAAAGCAGTAGTCATAAACTGTTTCTTGCTGTAGAGGTCATTTGCAAAATATTTAATATTCGCAATGAGATGAGCACATTAGCTACATTTGTATGTGAATAGCTTACAATTTAAAATATCAGCGAGATATATTTTTACCACAAAATCCTGGACCAAAAAAACAGTCATAAATAGCACGGGTATATTTGTAGCAATAGCCAACAATACATTGTATGGGTCAAAATTATAGATTTTCTTTTATGCCAAAAATCATTAGGATATTAAGTAAAGATCATGTTCCATGAAGATATTTTGTAAGTTTCCTACCGTAAATATATCAAAACTTAATTTTTGATTAGTAATATGCATTGCTAAGAACTTCATTTGAACAACTGTAAAGATGATTTTCTCAATATTTAGATTTTTTTGCACCCTCAGATTCCAGATTTTCAAATAGTTGTATCTCAGCCAAATATTGTCCCATCCTAACAAACCATACATCAATGGAAAGATTATTTATTCAGCTTTCAGCTGATGCATAAATCTCAATTTTAAAAAATGGACCCTTATGACTGGTTTTGTGCTCCAGGGTCACGTATAGGGTTTGAAAACAAATAAAAAAGCGTAATGCATGTATTTGTCTATAAATTTAACCAACAGTAAAACATCAGTCATGTAGCGAACGTTTTACTAATGAGGATCAGAATATGTTTTTTGAATGCTGTCGAATTATTTAAAAGCCTGCAAGGAAATATTTCTGAATATCTCTGAAAAAAGGCAATAATATAGGCCTACGTTTGCTTTCGTGGCCTGGAAGTAGAGCTTTTAATCCTTTAAAAAAAATAATGAGAAGCAATCCTTAGTCTAATTAAAAAAGGGTCTGTTTTCAAATTCATAACAGGATACGCACTGAACGAACAAATCAACAATTCACAAATCGAACACTTTTTACAACTGATAAAACTTGATTTAGTTAGCTTATTAAATAGGTAATTTTAATTTGCTAGTTAATCTGCACATTTGATCTGCATCATCTTGTAAATATTCCACTGAAATAAGTGAGAAAATACTCTCCAGTTTTGGCCTGAAACGCATCCAAGGTCATTCTGTAGCTAAAATGTTAGGTAACACTTTAATTTAAGGTGTCCTTGTTACACGTTACATGTACTTACTATTACATGCATGATGCAAGTAACCCTAATCCTAACCCTAACCATATAGTAAGTACATGTAGTTAATTAATATTACTCAGTAGGCTTAAATGTATAATTGCACTGTAACAAGGACACCTTAAAATAAAGTGTAACCAAATATTGTGCTTATGCAAATGTTTCTGACTGCAATAGGGTTTTTAGGCTTCTCGTACCCGGACTCGGGCCTCCGTGAGGTTGGTCCACACTGCGATCTCCTCTCTGGTGCTCATGTCCGGGTATCGGTTCCTCTGGAAAGTGGCTTCCAGCTCCTGCAGCTGCTGGCTGGTGAAGTGAGTCCTCTGCCGTCTTTGTTTCTTTTTCTTGGAATCGTCGGCATTCCCGTCGTCACTTCTCTGCTCGACAGACCTCTCCTTTTCTGGGGAGAATAATGTTGAGGTGATATGTG